GCTGCTCTGCGAGCGCGTGCCCCATTGATGCGAAGAGGTGATAGTCAGATGACGTCAGGTCTGGGAAGTACGGCGGGTGCGGAAGGATGTCCCATCCAAGCGATTTCAAGGTGTCTTTCACTGGTTTTGCTGTGTAAGACGGCGCATTGTCGTGTAACAAAATCACTTTGCCATGTCTTCTGGCCCATTCCGGTCGTCTTTCGATTAATGCGTGGTTTAAATTAATCATTTGTTGGCGATAGCGTGTATTAACGGTTTCGCCGGGCTTCAAGAGTTCATAATACACAATACCGCTCTGGTCCCACCAGACACAGAGCATGGTCTTCTTGCCGAAGCGATTTGGCCTTGGTGTTGATGGACCGGCTTCGCCAGGTGAAAGCCACGATTTTTTCCGCTACGGGTTTTCAAAATAAATCCATTTTTCGTCACCCGTCACAATTCGATACAAAAATGATTTCCTTTCGTGGCGTTGAAGCAGCATTTCACAAATGACTTTGCGATTTTCCATTTGACGTTCATTCAAATCGTGTGGGACCCATTTACCGAGTTTATTGATCTTTCCCATTGCTCGTAAATGTCTGCTGATTGTTTCTTGTGATACGTGTAATGCTTCTGCTAATTGCCGTTGAGTTTGAGTTGGGTCATCATCCAATAACTCCTGCAATTGCTCGTCTTCGCATTTTTGTGGTCTACCAGAGCGCTCACTGTCTTTCACATTGAAATCACCACTTTTAAATTGTCGAAACTATGTCTCACATGTTCTAATCGATGGAGCGTGTTCACCATATGTTTCTACCAGCAAACGATAACTTTCAACAGCCTTTTTCTTTTGATTAAATAAAAAAAGCAATGCGTGCCGCAAATGTTCTTTTTCAGGCACAAAACTCGACATGATCACTGAACGATAAAACAAAGACGCTAGTTTTTGGCAGACTCAACTTGTGTGTGTTTGTAGTTTTAAATGTCAGACGAACAAAATGATGTATGTGTCAAATTAATACGCTGCGTACTTTTCGCTGGCGACATCTCTTAGTTAAACCGGAAAAAACTTATGCATACACTTGGTAGGGTTAAATAATCCACTTTTCATCGTCTGTAATGATTTTATGCAGAAAATCTTTTTTCCGGAACTTTGAAAGCAAAGTGAGTGCAGTGTTACGCCGACGATTTTTGTTGTCTTCGGACAATTCATGCGGAAACCCATCTGCCTTCCTTCCGAACCTTTCCCATCGTATGTAAACGTACGGAAATGGTTTGCTGCGTAACGCCAAGCTGTTCTGCAAGCTCCTTTTCAGTTTGCGCAGAGTTTATATCCAGCAGTGCTTGCAATTCGTCCGTTTCAATCTTTTGAGGGCGTCCAGCACGCGGTTCATCTTCAAGACTGAAATCTCCTTGGCGAAATTTTTGATACCATTTTTTACATGTAGCATGACTTACAGCGTTCTCTCCAGCACAAATCATTGCAGTGGCTTCAGTAGCATTTTTCTTCAGATGAAACGCGAAGTGAATGGAAAATCGAATATGCTCTTTTGTTATTGCCATCGTGAACACTACTGATTTTTGAGGTTATGTGCATCAAACGCCAAACCGTATGGCATTTTAGAAGGCCAAATGTCAACGCTTTAAAAAGGGCGGGAAGATATATAAAATTTAAATTGTTATTTCGGTTGTATGAAATCTAAAGCTCAGAACTTTTTTGTACACCTAATAAATAAGAAAAATATTTCCCATATTTAATACAATTATTGATAAATTTATAAACAAATAAACAAAGTATATTCAACAATTTATAAACAATTTTCATAATAAAAATGATTCTTGTTAAACGTAATATAGGTTCACGGCTCTATATATGTAATTAAATTATCTACAAGAATTATATATGCAATCGAGATTTTAAAATTGAGACTATTTATATAATAAGTAACATTGATTAACTGGATCAATTTTATACCAAGATTCTGCATTTATATTATCATTTCAGTAGGAGATTTCATCCTGAGGTTAAGCAACATCGAATAGGATCTTCAAGTGGATGAGTGACCGGCTTTAGAAACATACAGTTATAGAAGAAAGAAGATGTTTCATCAATTTCTCTCATTTTTTTTTATTTTTTATTTTCCATAAGGAGTGTCATGTATATTATAGATTTTCGGTACTAGCAGTCATTATCGGAACGCAACCGTAATTTTGTCGACATCTTGCTACCTGGGATATATTGATACCTGGGATATATTTCAGACAAACTAATACATATTATACATATTACATATTCTATAGTATTCTATAGTACTCTATAGTACTCTATAATATATCTATATATATTCAATATATTTTCACAAATTAGCGAAAATCTATGGCATAAGGTAATAGTAACGCGGACATAATAAATTATTAGTATATACCCGATATATCATGTACGTATCTCGAATATCATGCAAATATTGCAATATACTTTTGCGATATTTTATAAACATCGTCACGATCTATATGACTATCTGGATAATTAATAGCTATAGAATAATTAATTTGTATTTTTTTTTAATATTTAAATAAAAGCGGGTTGTTGTCAGGATGTCCGTTGATGTTATTTTTAATGTTTGAATTCAAGTGAATGTCCGTTATACCGATCATGGTTCGAAATTGGAATCTTTCCCTAATAACATTCGTCTATTCTGAAAATGTTCCAAAATGTCACGAGATATCATATAAGTATATTCGAGATATTCCGTGAATCTATATTATGTTTAATAAGAATCATTTTTATTATAAAAATTGTTTATAAATTGTTGAATATATTTTGTTTATTTGTTTATGAATTTGTCAATAATTGTATTAAATATGGGAAATATTTTTTTTATTTATGTATCATAGTTAATTAAGAAAGATAGTAATTAATAATGTTATTTCATTATTTATTCATTAAAAATGATTTAAAAATGACAATTAAATGATAATATATTTATGACGATATATAATATTTTGTGACAAATGTTATGTTTATTTTGTGTCGTTTTTTTAGTACACTGACATCGAATGAAGAAAAATGATCTTAAATCATCGTCATAATGATATCATCTTGCTACTTGGGATACGACAAATGATACTCTACATAGATTTTATACGAATAATCTTACTATATTCGATATGATTACAGTACATTCAGTATAAATACAGAATATTCGTGTGATATATGTGCTGCTAGAATATATTTGATATATTCTGAAAATGAACTTAAAAAGATATAAGAAATGATATACCATCAAGATGTCATATGAATGTTCTCTGGCAATAGTACGTATGATCACAATGCTTTCAGTACGAGTGTAGAATATTCAAATGATATCATGTGCTATTATGATAATAGTGTATGCGTGTGTATTCATACATATCCCATATAGCACAAAGCTCAGATATAGTTCCAAGGGAGTTCAAATTGTTGAGCTTTCGAGGAGCTTACAAAATTTTACTAACTAAATAAGCTCGCAGGGAGTTCAAATTGTTGAGCTTTCGGCGAGCTTACAAAATTTGACTTAATAGGGTCCCAGGGAATTGATATTATCCCTAATAGCACATGATATCATTCGAATATTCTACACTCGTACTAAAAGTACTGTGGTCATACGTACTATTGTCTAATATACTAGAGAACATTCATATGACATCTTGATAATATATCATTTCTCGTATATTCTTAAGCTCATCTTCAGAATATACCGAATATATTCTAGCAGCACATGATATCATACGAATATTCTGTATTTATATTGAATGTACTGTGATCATATCGAATATACTAAGATTATTCATATAAAATCTATGTATCCCAAGTAACAAGATGATGTCATTATGACGATGATTTAAGATCATTTTTTGTCAGTGTACTAAAAAACGACGTAAAATAAACGTAATTGTCACGAAATATTATCATAAATATATTGTCATTTAATGAATCGTCATTTTTAATGAATAAATAATGAAATAACATTATTAATTACTAGCTTTCTTAATTAACTATAATATATAAATAAGAAAAATATTTCCCATATTTTTACAATTATTGACAAATTCATAAACAAATAAACAAAATATATTCAACAATTTATAAACAATTTTCATAATAAAAATGGTTCTCATTAAACATAATATAAGTTTTATATATGTAATTAAATTATCTACAAGAATTATATATGTAATCGAGATTTTAAAATTGAAACTGTTTATACGACAATATAGTAACATTCATTAATTGGGACCGGATCTATCATATTTTATGTCACAATTCTGTATTCATTTATATCATCGTTTCAGTAACGGGTTTCATTCTAATATAGAAGTGTGAAGCAGCATGGAGCAGGATCCCAAATATGGGAGTGAGCCGTTTTAGAAACAAGAAGCTCGAAATAGTGGATGTATGAAATTCCCGAATAATTTAAATGAAAGCTTCCCAGGAACTATTTTTGATTCTAGCAGAAAACTCCTAAAATATAATTTCCATGCTCCTGGTAAGCCTAAATGAAGTTCCCTGCGAACTTAAATGAAGCTTCCAAGAAGCTTTCAAAAGCGGATATAGGAGCTTCCGGGAGCTCCGTGCGAGTTCTTTGGAAAGTAAAATGAAGTTCAAAATGAAGTCAAAAATTTTATGAGTTCTTCGGGAGCTGCCCGGAAACTTGTTGTGTTGTGTGGGATACATATTCGAAATAAGTGTGCTCGCTTCGAATTGCATTTGATTCGTTGTTAAGCGTTAATGTGATTGAATTGTGATTGAATAACTAAGGGTAATTGAAGAAAGGACAGGATATTGTAAAAAAATTTTTTTCATATCATCATCAATTATATAAATTGTTATAAATCGTATCTGGTCTACACGATTATCTTTTGCTAAATAGCAGATAGATATTAAAATATTGTTCCAGAAATGACAATTTCCCGAATCTTTTGTTTATTTTTATTTTTCTTCTTATTCCCCAAATAGAAAAATGAAAATGTCATTAATATTATTTTAGAATTGCTGCTTTCAGTTATTTAATAACAAGTCATTTGATTAATCTATCTTAATCGAAGGAAATATAACGATTAATTGCGAGAGAAAAGATCGAAAAACAAAAAAGAAAGAGAGAGATAACTTAGTTATTACTATTTATTAACTTACTTACGGTTATTAGTAGTACTCTCTCTCTCTCTCTCTCTCTCTCTCTCTCTCTCTCTCTCTCTCTCTCTCTCTCTCTCTCTCTCTCTCTCTCTCCCTTCTCTCTCTCTCTCTCACTCATTCAAGTTTGTTTATTCATATTATACTAACAACTTTAATTTTTTGTATAAAAACTTGAGGAAAAAAAATTGAAAAAGAAAATATGGTACAAACCATAATACTCGATAATTATACCACGATATTCTAATATGTAGATTTACAGCTTGGTTTTCTAATGCAGTAACGATACTTTAAGCCAACCCTTCTCGTGAAAAAATACTATCGTGGATATCAATAATCCTATTAGTAGCATGTAAAAGGATGACTGCATATCAGATAGATTAAATGGTACGAAGCCATCTATTTCCTTTCTATCTCGAGCTAATTTTTCTTTAGTCAATAACCGCTTTTGAACAATGAAGGCATGAATGATGTGTTGATTCCACAATGATGGTAAGCCAGCTTGATTCAGTTGATTGATTAGTGCATTTATCTTTTCATTTAAAATCGAATTCTTGGGCAACAAATATGACAAGTAGAATTTACCTAGGATGCACGCACAGTATACACATATGTAATTTGTGTATGTATATGAATATCTATGTATACAAGAATTTTTATACAAATATTTGTTACGTGTTCTTCATACCTGGACATTCTTCAACGAGATGTAGCAATGGTCCATCTACGTCGAACAATTCCTCATTGATAATGGGAAAATAACGTTCCCTAGCTAATGCGGAAACGTTGCGGTGATGAGCCGCAATACTTACAGCGTGTGGACCGTATTGCAGCTTTTTTCGCAGGTTTTCCATGAGTGGTGTCGAATCGACATTGTTGTTGCATCCGAAGAGATCGATCAAACTGATGGAAGTTAACAATATTGGCAATCCCGAAACGTCGAGATCGTGAAGATTATGGATATCTGGATAATACATGTCATGCGCGAAACTGTTGTACAGAATACCACCAAAGATTCCTACTAAAGTAACGTTAGCGAGAAGAATGCCCGACAGCAATATTCTTTCCGCGCTTGTATTTGGCAATTTTTGAGGACAACCGGCATTGAGTAGAAACGATCGATATATTGTTGTGCGAAAACTTATCCTTTCTGTTCTGAAAGTAAACGCTAACATATTTTTTCACTTTTCACGCAGGTAAATAATTGGCATTGCTAACAGATCTAGTTATAAATACTGTACCTTTTTGGAGTAAAAACTTGTAGAAAGTACCATGTTAGATACGTGAAAATGTGCGTTAACATTGAACATATCCAAATCGAGAGCGGAAAAAAATGATATATTCGTATTCCTTTAGGTATCTTGGTTGCTTTTGGGACAACTACACACAATCTGTCAAAGTCCACGTACGTGGTGAACTCAACATCTTCCTTGAGCTTGATGCTGTATTTCTTTACGAAAAAAGATACGAAGCAGATGTCCGTTCTACCATGCACTACGTCGCCTGTGTAAGCTGGTTGTGTATTATCAGATATTCAAAAGAGACGAAAAAAAAAGGGGAACTCGAGAATAGTTTTAAATATCACTACGTAAATACCTATAGCACCGACGTACGTTCCATTGGGCAATTGATGACCATATGATTTGTTATCCGTTGGATGTATATGCGTCACTTTAAAATTCATGTCTTGAGCTATTGTATTTAACATTATCTCGTCAAATCCTTTAAAAACGTCGGCATAATTGTAATGTAAATTCGATCGAGATATTATAGGTTTTGCGATTGTCTGGCCTTGCTTGAAGTAACCTACTTTTAACTCGTATCCATTCATATTTTTTGTGCGATGATATGTTAAATGCGACAATACGTTTGACGCTTCTTTTACTGTCTTTACAGTTATAATTTCGACCTTACCCCATACTGAAATCAAATGCAGAAATATACAGATAGATCTTTATAGATATATACAGAAAAGATAGTATAGGTAGTATGAATACATCAATAATTATACAATTGCAGCATGGCTGATAGAATCTTTGGTCTTACGATGCTAAGATCTACGAACCAGAATCGTTGACTTTGGCGAACGGATTGTAAGTGTGCATAGTTTGATTAATTTGAATGGTGTCATTTACAAGAATAACGTTGGAGACTAAAATCTTTTGCACTTTACGTTTGAACCACAACGTTTTTAAGATATCATCGAGCTCTGGATTGGACAAACTATTGTTTTCCTCTGGAAGAGCGATTAACGCTATAAATCGATCCTGTGGATTCCACGGAAATGTAGACGCATCCTTCGAAATTTGATTGAAAGAGTGGATATCTCTCGCGAGAATTATATGTATGTTCCACGTATTTTTGCCAGAGACTCTGCCGCTTCGTATTTGAGTCCTTCTAGCTATCAACGACTTGATTGCTTGAGAAGGAATCTTGCCACCCGATGTAATCTTGCAGATCGACGATCGTTCTACAACCCTTTGAGTTATGTCATTATTAGTTATGAAAGATGTAAGATTCTCCGAATCGCGAAGCATATAAATCTTTGATGCAATCGTTGCCTGGCATTTGTGCGTGATATCCTTTACAAAAGTCTGAAAACATTGATCGAGAAAGATAGAATTCCTTCCACTATCGAATACACCATGAAAATTTACGGTTTTAACATTTTCTATAGAGCAGACGACGTTGCTCCAAAATTCAATAGCGTTATGCCATTGACAATCGCTATTCGATACTGTACGCAAAAAAAATGTCACGAGAGCAAGTTCATGAATCATCTGCAATTAAGAATCACTTAAATTTACCTGATAAGAGAGAATTTTACCAATTTTTTATCGGAAAAAGAAATATGTCAACGTACCTTTTTTGTGAAACTTGGCATGAGCATTCCCTTATTTATACGATTTAACAATGACGATTGGGTCATTCCCCAAGAGTTTTCTTCATACAAATATTCTCGTTCGTTGTATACAATCAAATCATACATCACTCACCCTTATCGCTACTCTTATTGATCCTTCTCTCGAACGAGATACTATCGTGTCACATCATTTTGAACACGTTTATCTTTGATCATGCTCGTACTTCGCTCAAAAGTATAACTTTTATAATAAACAGGGACATGAATGTGCCGCGCTCTTCTGGATGAGGCTAAAAAGATGGATTTTTTCATCACTTGTTATGTCTCTGATTTATTATATAATGTTGCAAGATCGATCCTTAATCGCATTTTTTTTGTTCTGTGTGATGGCTCATTTGAGATATTTTTACAAATTTCAATAAAAATCAATTATCACCCTATTGTTGATATAAAACTATAAAAAGGTTCCACACAATAAATGCAAAAAAACGATAAATTGCCAATAACATTTTGTTTTTATGATATACGTAATCATATATAATATTTGACACAATCGTAATAATTTGCAATTATATTAGTTCTCTTCTCGTTATTTTCTGTCGATTTTATTGTAAGATAATAGTAAATATTGTGCGAAAATGAAAGAGGAGAAATGTGTGTGGAGTACTTTCGTTCGCAGACAAAAATTGACATTCGTATTTGTATACGTAAGAATCATTGCGTCGTATAACTAAGCTTTTAACTTAATGATACATCGGAAACTTGACTTGTTTGCGAAGGAAAGTAAACGTTTACTTAATTTACCCAAAGTAAATAATGGGAACAGAGAAAAGGTATAAGACGGTAACGATGACGTTTCTGTATTAGATGATCAAACTAAGCGAGTTGCGTAACTATAACAAATGGGTCACAACAACGAACGAACGATATTAAACATTCCGTTCTTCGGGTACTCATTTTTTTGGAATTTAGCGTACTTTGATTTTTATGAAACGCGGTAATAAATTTCTCTTTTTTTTTTAAATTGTGTGTGTTTCCGCATCAACACGCACCAATAAATCCGCATATGCGAATTATAATATGAAGAACGATCGCTAGCTATTATTATTTGAAAATAAATTCGCTTTTCGGATCATGGTACAAGTAATAATAACAATATTATTTTAATACTTTACAGAGAAAGTACAAGTTTCGACACTGTTATCAATTTCGGTCATTCTCGCTGAGGAAGAATACTCTTGATAAATATATTTGGATGTACTTGAGTAGATGTCCGTCTACAATGACATTGTTTCCTTTAGTGCGCTGCTTGACAGAGAACTTGCCTTTTAATAAGCAAGAAAGAAGAGAAGAGATGTAGGTAAATTTCAAACTTCCTAAAGAAACTTCTCGAAAGACTTGTTGATCAGTACTGTTTGATCACAGCGCTGTCACCTTGTGAATTTCAATCTTTTCTTTTTTTCCAATATCTTTTCGTCGTTATTATAACGAATCATTATTATAACGAATGATTTACGACGTCCTCTCAATTTCGCACGATCTACAAAATATCAAAAATTAATCGAGATGATTAGTAGATGTATGATGGCACGTATGTACATACGTACAAATGGGCTCGTCAAAATGTAATAAAATTCTACTTGGAACAATGCTAACGATGCTCTTGTGCTGCGATTAATTCTCGATGCTTTTATCTAGACATCACGTCCACGATTTCTATCTACTGTAGCGCGACAGTCTTCCTCCAACTATAAATGTATGTATTGCTCTTTAACTATATATGCTGACCTTGATATCTATATAAAACTCATGCCTCTCTTTCTAATGTTTACTACAGACTGTTCATCATGAAATGAATTCTGTGAAACCGTGTTCGTGTATCGTGTATCGATACAGGTCGAAACTTTTAAAAAACGGCTTTTATCAATCACAATGTTATCGATAATATTATTTTATTTATTCATGCCATTTTCAATATTAACAGTGGCACAGATTACAACGGACACACATAAGATTGCTCCGAAAGACTACATGTTGAGATCGACGGAAAGTGAAAATTTGAAAATTATTTTGAATTACGTTCGAGGCAAGCAACAATTCTATTCGTCGATATTTTCTCTCGTCTATTTCAACGCTCGATCTAGTTTTGTAGATTTTTTATCCAAGTATGTAGCGAGTGAATCTATCATTAGTTACAAGATCACGATAAACGATTTCTCACGAAAATCGCCATGGCAGAATCGCGTAGATCTTACATGGATCTTCGTCGTCGATAATATGAATATTTTGAATTCCTTTGTGCACGAACAAAGCCATATCTGGAAGGCTACCAATCAATACGTAGTAATTGTCACGACTCCAAATACGACTTTGCTGCAGGAAACTTTTCAGACGATTTGGAGAAACTACAACGTCTTTAGAATTATCATTATTTCGATAGAAGATAACTTTCAATGTTTGAGCAGATATTTGCCGTTCGAAAAAAATCGTCAAAACGAGTATGGCGTCGTACGAAAGATCTGTTTAATGAATCAAGAAGACAACGACGAGCTCTACACTAATTTTGAAGATTTGAACGGATATCCTATACGCGTGATCGTCTTCTCATCTTTGATGATGAAGATTACATTCGATCAAGATACGAAGAACTCTAAGTTTAGTGGACTGGATGCATACGTAATGTCGTTGTTGGAACGAGCTATGGGGACTCGGTTTCGTATTAACGTGTTTCGTATTGTTAATTTCACTGACCCCTTTCATAGTACTCTCCAATACATCGAGAACGGCGAGTCGGAAATGATTATCAACAGTTTCTTTGCTCATCGATATAAGGAATATCGAAGTTACGAATTCACGACTAGCGTTTACGAAGACAAGTTGTGCTTGATCGCGCCTACGGCTGGTTTCGTACCTAAATCGTATATGCCAATAATGTCGTTCGCGCCTGATCTATGGATGGCCCTCGCAGTATATAATATTCTTGTGTCCGTCCTATGGTTCTTCATCAAATATTACAGCGTATCGTTTCGTCGGCAGGAGATCATTCTCCTTCCCCTAACGAGAACAACGGGGTACATACTTTCGCGACGATCAAATTTACTGCCAGGAATACATCCTTACGCTTCATCATGTTTCGACCTTGTCGAAGCTTCATGCTATCCGTTGAAAGAAGACGGTGATGCCGGCAGTACGACCGCTCAAAGAGCTTTCTTGATCGGCACGCTTTTCTTCGGACTTATCGTTACCGGTCTCTATCAAAGTTGTCTCATGTCTAGCTTGAGCGATCCCTTTCATTACCCCGAATTGAATACTTTAGAAGACGTCGCCAACTCGAATCTCACTATCATTACAAAGTACTATAATCTGAAAGAGAACTCGTTCACGGGAAATACAACTCTGGACAATAAATTGCGGAGTAAGATTGAAATATTTGTCTCTAATGAATCTACTAATGACGTCGTGGCCTTTGGCAGAAAGGTGATCGCCATCACCCGTTATGCGTCGGTTAAGTTGGGGGACATGTCCAAATATTATGACGTGGACGGCAATGAACTGCTCCACATCGTCGAGGAATGCCCGATCACCTATTTATTATCCTACGTAATGAGACCTCATTCCCCATACCGGGAGAGAATCAATGGATTATTGCTACGAATGCGAGAAGCAGGTCTCGTTCATTTATGGTACGAGCGCATGGCTTATCCGTCGTACGTAGCCGAGCAGAAAAGAAAGATAGACAAGAGCGAGAGAAGAATTAAACTGACTATGGAACATTATTCTCTCACATTCGTCGGACTTATGTTTGGTTTATTTTCTTGCACTGTCGTGTTTCTCACGGAACTGTATTTCGCCAAGAGGATCCTGTCGCCAACAAAAACGTAAAAGTTTTTTGAAGAATAAAACATCCTCGTATTATCTCGCTATCTTACGCGAGTGAGTGAAAGCTCATGACATAGCTCGGCACATTTCATTCCCGCTAGCTTTGTCTTCCTTTCGGTCTAAACTTCGCGTACAGCAAAGTTAATTATAGAGAACTTTACATCTGATTGGCTTAACATATACATCATCGTATATTGTCTCACGTGACGATACCGGACTTGATCGTGATGATTCGATCAACAGCTGTTTCATTCGCAGCACAGTCTCGAGTTTGATTAATTGAGCATAATAGAAGCTACGTCTCCCTGTCACCCTCAACTATCGATCATGAAAAAAGGTCCTTTATTTGCGATATACCGATGTCGCACTAATGAATTGGCGGTAAAGCGACTTTCTAGAGAGAGAAACAGAGTTTATTTTAAGAATCTACGAAAATACATACAACACGCCTATATGTCCCTCTCTCGCTCCAGTCGCTCTTTCAAAGAAGAAGAAGAAGA